TCGATATTGGGCATCATGGCACTAAGCCAAGGTTTTCCAAAAAGTAGGTCGTCATGCTTGGAAAGTTTCGTTACGTTGAACTTCCCATACATAAGTCTCTTATTGAGACAAATGAATAGCATGCAGTATTGGGTTACCTGTCCTGCCGAGGACGGGCTTCCGTCTACTGTGGTGATCCGGAAGGGTTTCTTGAGTAGGTGGGTCCGGATCCCATTTCGCTTGACGAAGTCATAGCTAATGAAGGTCCCACCTGCCCCTGAGTCGATGATGGCGGTCGACTGAACGGTTTTGGCACTGCAAGAAGAGAAAAGTGTCACCGGGACACGAAACTCGTTGGATTTACCAACAGCTTTAGTATACAATGCACAGATAGAGGGAATTGACCGTTCGACAAGCCCTCTCTTTAAAAATCCTTTCTTTTGACAAGGTTGACTTCCATGTCTTCCTCGTCAGAAGACTCGTCAAGCTGGCGGACGCCAGACTTGCTTGGCTTCTTGCCTTTGTCTTCTTCGTCGTTCTTCTCTCCTCGGCGCACCTTCGGGTGGAACCGGGAGTCGTTTGCTCGATGGCCCTTCTCCTTGCATTTGAAGCAAAGGCCTTTATCGAAGCACTTCTGTCGTTCCTCAGGCGTGAGGGAACGATCAACGTCCATAGCATCAGGATCGCGTTGGCGAACCTGAGGCTTGGGGACGTGCCGGTGCCCGGAAGGGCGTGCCGATCTGTTGTTGGACACAACTGCTCTTGATCGCTTGTAGTTGGCTTCCAACTGTGTCGCGGCAGTGTACCATTTATCGATGGTGTTGGGGACGACCTCCTTCGTGTAGATGGCGGTTCGAAGTCCTGGTTTCAACCCTCTTTCGAAGAAGTGGATGAGGGCGACGTCCTGCTTGAGACTAGCAGTGGACGACAGGGTTTTGAACGTTGCGATGTAGGGCATCACGTCGCCAGTTTGGGTCAAACCATGAAGCTTGGTTAGAGCCTCAGTCATCCGGTCGACCGGGTGGAAGGATTCAGTGAAAGCCTTCCTGAAGTCCTTCCAGCTACCGAAGTCGACGGGAGTTTTGTCGAAGGCTGCTCAGTAGAAGGTGTCGGCCCAGACGCGGGCGTCTCCATCGTTCATATACTGGAGTGCAACAGCGACCTTGGTCTGGTCGGAGCTGTAGATCGTCGAGTTGATGAGGAAGTATGTCTCCACCGAGTACATCCAGCGCTCGGCATCATCGATGTTTCCATCATAGTTCTGTGGTACTCCAGCCTTTAGTTCAGGCCTGGATACGACCACTGTTGGTTGTGGGGTGGGGCCTCCGGACATTCTTGTTCCAGGGTTCGAGTTGAGGTTACCGTACGGTTGTTCGTCGGGAAACTCGTCGGAGGACGTATGGTCTTCTTCCGATTCTTCTTCTTCGGAGTCCGGAGTGTTGGGATCGCGTTCCCAAGGATACTTCGGGGTCCAGGTAGTCGTGGTGTCTGTCGGTTAATGGCCGTGCGGATGGCAGGGCGCAAAAAGGGGAAACTTGAATCTTTTGTTACGCACTCAAATAGATCTGTTATGCGGAGCCCTAAGAGGGGCGTCGTCCGCTAACGTTCGTGACGTAACCGGAAGGGTCCGGTGTAGCGACTGAGACTGGCGACGTCGAGTCGGCAGATATCAGAGACGCGCGTGTCACGTGACTTCTAAGACGGATGTCTTCAAAGTCACTGACGTTCTCAAAGTAAGGACAGTCTTGTCCGAACGATGAGGTGGTCGATCGAGGTAGACTTAGGCGCGATGAGCACCTAAGAAAAGATACTAGAGACTGAAGCTGAGGGGGCTTCAGAGGGAAGTATGTTCGAGGGAAGATTGAGTAGATTCAAGTTAGGGAATCTAGTACAGAGTGACCGACTACTTATACTAAGTGGAAAGGGTTAAGGGCAAGGCTACCGTACTGTAGGTAAGGGCAAAGGGGAAACGGAAAGGGTATAGGTACGATGGTGGCAGAGCCTGATTAGTGATGTAAGGTCGAATGCGGAATGAGACCGAGAAACGTTGGAACGAGCCAACGGTAAATGATACAATGTGCAGCATGCACGAGTCAAAGGAAAGATAAGACAAGATAAGGAAAGCCACATTGGTGGCACGAGTCAGAACGAGTCATAGCCCGAAGGCACGTGCGCACGTTGGTGCGATGGGAGGGGGAGGCGAGGGACGGGAATGGTCCCGAGGATCCGGTCAACGGATAGTCGGTAGAGAAGTACGAGCCGGAGGCATACGAGGGCGAGGACGAAGGGGAAAAATGATAGGGGGGCCATGTAGCCGATGTTACTTGTAACACCATGCTGGACTTTGCACGCCTGCCAAGATCTCTTTGGGGTGAAGCTGCGCTCACTGCCTGCTATCTCTTCAATCGGACAGAATCTCGCGCGCTTCCTCCAGGCAAAACTCCCTATGAGATGCTCCATGGTAATCAGCCTAACCTCGCTCATTTACGCGTTTTCGGGGCACGTTGCTTTGCACGCATCCCCACAGAACAGCAGCAAAAGCTTGGACCACGGTCCCGTGAAGCTCAGTTCATGGGTTATCCACCTGGGGTAAAGGCTTGGAGATGTCGTGACACGCACACCGGCGCGTTCTTTAATTCAAGGGATGTAATCTTTGATGAGAGCACCATTAATCATTTGCACTCTGACAGCGACGATGATGAGGAGGATCCGCCTGCTTCCTCACATGCTGCGCCTCACCCTGCTCCTCCACCTGCTGTGCCTCAACCTCTCACGAGAACCCAGCCTCCTCACCTTGAGGTGATACAGCGCTCAGGCAGAATTCCTGTCCCTACAGAGAAAGGTCAGGAACTCAAGGACCGTATCGCAGCAGCGAAGGCACGGCTTACAAGGCAAAGAGAGGTTTGCACCACGCGGATCATTGGTGTCCCTCCACCTTCCAATGATGCTCTCGTGCCGCCGTCTCCCATCGTCACAATGCCGACTCCCATGCCTGAGCTCCCAGTCCCAACAGCTCCAGACCCTGATGCAATCGTCCCTGAAGACGACGAGATCGGCTTCTCCCAGGCACTCACCAACCTCATCATAGTGGAAGTGTCCTGTTTATCGGTCCGTAGCGACTCACGTCGAAACCCATTGACTCCTGGGTATGACCTCCACATCCCTCCAGCAACTTACAACGAGGCTATGCGCAGGCCCGATAGCAACCACTGGTGTGCTGCCATGCATAAAGAAATGAACCTGATGTCAGAAATGAATGTGTACGAACTGATATCACTGCCTGCAGGTCGTCGCGCAATTGGGTGCCACTGGGTACTGGAGTTCAAGGAAGATCTCAAGGGTGGCCCTGTATTCAAGGCACGCCTGGTGGCCCAGGGGTTCTCTCAAATTCCGGGCATCGACTTCGGACGAACGTTCGCACCTGTAGCGAAGTCTACCTCTATTCGCGTCCTATCCGCGCATGCTGCTGCCAATGACTGGGAGCTCGATTGCTTCGACGCACGCCGAGCCTTCCTGTGGGGGAAACTCCAGGAAGACGTGTATATGCGTCAACCCCCAGGCTTCGAACGTGTGGATGTCAATGGTCTCCCACTGGTGGCGCATCTGCTATCATCCCTTTACGGACTCAAGCAGGTGGCATTCGACTGGTACGAGCTGCTTCGTGATGTGCTCGGTCGACTCGGATTTTTGCGCTGCGAGGCCGATTACGCCGTTTTCATCTTCGATCACGTCAACGGCGAGGGGGTGAGAGTGATCTGCATTATAGCGTGGCACGTCGATGACGGACTTGCAGGATCAAATAATCGGGCGTTTCTCGACCGCACGAAGGGACAGATAGCAGAACGCTTTGGCATCACCGATCTCAGGCCCATAACGAAGTACCTTGGGATTCAGTTCGTCCGCGACCGCAGAACACGTGAACTCTGGATGCATCAGGAAGAGTACATAATGTACCTACTGGCCGAACACGGCATGTCCAACTGCAACCCAGTATCCCTTCCTATGGACCCTAGCTTCCCCTTTGGTCGTCCAACCGATGTCTTCCCTCACGTCGACGATTTGCAGACAGAGTATCGCAAACTGGTCGGTGAACTCCTCTACTTGGCCATGTACACTCGGCCCAACATCGCGCTTACCATCATGCGCCTGGCTCAACATAACGTCTCCGCCGAGCCAAAGCACTATGTGGCAGCGAAGCACGTTCTGCGCTATCTTGCAGGCACATCAACCCTCCGAGTCCATTATGGGGGTGCAGGGATCAATGCATCCCTGCACGGCTTTTCAGATTCAGACTGGGCGTCCAGTCCTGAGGACCGTGTGTCGATCTCCGGGTACGTTTGGTTCTACAACGGAGGCCCCATTTCACACTCTGCGAAGAAACAAACCACGCAAGCGCTGTCGTCCACCAAAGCCGAGTATATGGCACTCACCTCCACCATCCAAGACGGACTATGGCTCCAGTCTTTCTTTGGATGCCTTAGCATCCCTCTGTCACTGCCACTGCAGCTGTTCGCAGACAACGCCGGCGCCATCGCCTTGTCGAAGGAAGCAGCCAATCATACCAGGATAAAACATATCGATCTGCGATATCACTTCATTCGACGACATGTTGAAGAGAAGACTTTCGCACCTATTTGGCTGTCCACGCACAAAAATACTGCAGATATCTTCACGAAACTCCTCCCACGACCTGCCTTCACCCACCATTGTTCCGGTCTCGCGTTAGTACATTGTTGAGTCACCCCTCTCTCGAGCATTGCCTCGTTGAGGGGGTGTGTTGATATTCAACATCATCATCGCTCTCGTTGTATTTCCTTTTACGTTTGTCATCTTCCTCTTTTGTCATTGATATTCTGGACTCTATACAGTACTTTATAAACCTCTTCGTTTTTGTCCTTCGTACCTCAGCGGTTCTTCTACCACACACTGAGGTACGTATCTTAATGTTTGCACGCCGACTTTCTCTCATTGTATTCTGTCCATAGATTGTCTTCTAGGTATTATGAATAGCAGCGGTTCTTCTACCACACGCTGAGATTGTCTTCTAGTTCGACATCTAACAGGTCATTGTCAATGGCACCCTCGAAGTCAATGTTACCCAAGGCATCGAAATCAAATGAAGGGTCTGAATCAATCAGAATAATTAGTGTTAGGTGTGCGTAATTAGAAAAGACAGCGATACATACCTGGAGGAATGATTGGTTCCTCATCTTCACTCGTGGAGGGAACATTATTGAGTGATTGTGATGGGCCGGTGCTTGGAAACCTGATACCGATACATGCTGCCTGCCGGCGAGCTATACATTATAATAGATACCTCTGACTGTCAGTAAAATTCAATATCAAGGTAGAAGATGACTCACCTCGCCTTTGATCTTGTTCGTGCTCGAGGGCGAAGGCCTCTCGTTCCTTCTCGATGTCGTTGCGCTTCTTGCAACTGGCTTCATGCTTTTTGAAGCCCTGCATCTTGAATTTTTTGCTGCAATGTGGGCATTGATGCTGCCCTGTTAGTGTTTGTTCTGAGTGATTGTACTTTGACCTAGATGTGCGAGAGGGAGCCATAATGATGTGATGGTACAATAAGATTGCGAAGCACGTTATTGTAAGCTATTGGTTATTCATCGTATACCTGTATCTCATGATCACAAGACCTGATGATGACCTCAGACGCCCTTTTAAGGCACATTACAACTCATGTGACCAAACTTGTAAGCCGGCGGCCTTACAATGGCCCTTTACCTTTTTCCGACAGTGACCGCGTCAAGGATCGTTAGTGCCACGTCAAGGCTCGTCAGTGCCGCGTCACATGCACGTCACGCCGCGTCAAAATAGCTACGCCCTGTTATCCGCAGTGGTACAGACTACTCGGTTTATGAGCAAGCCGGACTGACCGAGTCCGTTGGACAAGGAAGTGAGCCAGTGTATTTCGACCGTGAATTCTTTCCTTGCTATTTCCTCTGGCTGCATCTATAAACCTTCTCTCATCAGTCTTTGGTGCCGTTATGATCGTGTTCACATTCCAAACTTTGCAGATCGTGAACATCATTTTCCTTACCGTCGAGCCCGTCATTCTCCTGATGTTGGTCTACTTCGAGCATATCATCAGGGTCACGTCTCGTATTCATTCTGGATACTATCGCACTGCAAATGGTGATACACACCGCGAGAGCTTTGTGGCGCGTGCATCGGCGAAAATAACACATTTCCTCAAAGGCTTTTGGGTCTGGTCCAAATTCTGGATTGCTTCATTGCTCGGTGTTGGTTTCCAGACATGTTTAGTGGTAGGATATGCGAAGCTGAATCCATTTGCGAGTGTTTAGTTTCTCACTCTCCGCACTCACTCACACATCAATTGTCAGGTCATTCACAATCATCCTTGGCTTGTGCTTATGTCTGCATTATCACTGGCTTATCTCACAACAGTTCTCGCTCTCACCTTCCCACTGACGAAGCATGACGTCGTCCCTGCTCCAGAACAGCAAAAGCTGTCTATCCTTCTCCATCAGTATGTTCTCACATGGGTACCGCTCGTATACACAACATCAGCCGTCGCACTTGGGGGAACATATTTCATAACTACTTGGAACGCGGTGGTTCTCCTTGGTGCCATCCTTGCGTGGGTGGAAGACATGGCTGGCGCTCGGGGATATGAAGACAAGGAAGAAATTGGAAGGCAAAGGCGTCAGGTGCGAGGTGTGCACTATGATGCCGTGGACACTGCCGAGAACGGCCACCATGACTTTGAGAATGGCGACCAGTGCGTAGGCATCATTGAGGAAACTGAGCCGACAGAGATTACACCTCTCATCGCTCAGCATGGCCAACCCACACCATCAGGTGAAGAGCAGAGCGCTAGATTTCCCAGCTTTTAGTTGTTCCGCTGCCCGTTATCCTAATGTCTCATATCGCGTCATTTTGCTCCTTGCGATGAATCAGACGCTCACAGATGGAGCCAGTCCTTCTGGTGGTGAGTGCCCAACGGATTTCGTGTTGCATTGGTCTAGTGAACTGACGTGCCGTGCAGTTTATGCAGCGGTCTCGATGCTGGCGTTACTCATTGTCCTTCCCCTTGCACCATTCAGTATGAACATGCATCGCTGGCTGAATGGTATTATTCTCATCATCTTCATCCTACGCGACCCACACTGTGTGGCCTTTGTGTCATTCGCGCATCGGCCCCGTGCAGCAGGTAGTGCCTTCTACGACTACACTTCTCCATATGGCGCAGTCAGACAAGAAGACTGTATCACCCTTCGAGAAAGTATGTTTGGAGAGTACGACTTTCCGAACGTCCAGCCGAAAGGTGGAAAGGTGAAGACTCCCGTTGAAATTGCACAAAACGAAGTAAAGAAGGGCATCTTTGAGGACCTAACCTCGAGACTAGGTCTTTCCTCCCTGTTGGATCTACCTTTTAATAGCTTCATCAAATGGCCAGACGCATCAAGCATGCATCGTGAAGGCTATTTTGTCTGAACCAGAGCTCCTCATACCTGACGAATCTTTAAGTGAGTGATTGAACTTAAATATGACGAGCATGAAGTATGATGGCTGTACTTTGTCCAGTCCGCCTTGATGTCAATACTCGCCCAATGTTGCTGAATGTCCTTCGGTCACTGCATGAGTCTCTCAGTCCACGCATCATCATGGGTCTCAGGATCCAGGACCCTGTTCTTGACTGGATCTCGCACATTGCTCTAGTGACGGGCGAAACTATCCTGACAGGTGTCAAATATGAAATCATGTCCAAGGATGCGGAACATCACACAAACGCAAAGGAAGCTGAGCATAAAATGGCAAGCACCACTCAGTCATATCTGCAGTCTGGCCTTGGTCATGGAAAGCCAGTAGTTGACATGAAGAACGTAAATGTATCATACAGCCCATGCAAGGTAACTATTATTCACTGTTTCCGTGTCAATAACGATGTTTCGATCCAGGTGCTCAAAAATATCAATTGGACCATCCACGCTGGCACCTTCTGGCGCGAATGGTGCATCAACATTTGCACGAAACCGATGCTTTAGGATTTTGATCCGCTATTACAGGTTCCGGGAAAACTACACTTTCGCTTCTGACTGGTGACCATCCCCAGTCTTACACTCAGTGAGGTGATTCTATTCTGGAGTTGTTCTATCGGCCTCGGCAGCGTATCCCTACACTCTTACGTTCGCTCATTGCCATAGTTTCACCCCTTCATAGCTACGGCACCGTTTATGCCAGGGCCCAGGGACTCGCATCAGAAAAGGTGCGACACCTCCAACCTTCATGTTGAACAACTGCAGGTGAGCATCCCAAAAATCCTCCGGAACAGCACACCATAGGAAAACAAACGGGTATCCATATCCAGCATGCAACTTCGAGGTAGACGATTAACCGGATGAACCAAACACCGGACGTCAGGCCAGCGATCACGAGTGGTGGGAAATGCAATCTGTCAGTGGGCTACGCAGAGGGACCGAGGGTCTCACCGGCCATGAGACAGAAAATGGAGACGACGAGGAAAAGACTGGGACTCGCTATAATCACGAGCATACAACATACATGGAAGTGAGTAGAGGTGAGGACCTGCACAATGAAGTGTTAGTTTCCTGCCGAGTCAACATGAATCATCACTAACCTTCAAAGTCCACTCTCATTCATACACGGCGATAACAGTGAGATCACAAGCAAACACTAACCATAGCATTCGACGCATCTAACTTATCACAAACCATATTTCAATGTTTCTCCCACTCTTCCTCGTAATTCTTGGAAAGCCAACAGTGAACACCGAGGGAGGGACGAGTGATCAAGATGAGGCGAAGTACACGAAATGCAAGTATTTTGATGCTCGATAGCAAAGTACCATCGTCCTCCGGAACCTTCCAGTGCTTCGGCATATCTGAAGGTCCCTGTGGAGCCTGTGAAGAAGATTGAGAAGTGGTGGGTGAAACACTCATCGTGAAGTTGAGGGCGGAGGGGATGTGCGGGTAAATGGATCTAAGAATCTAAGAAGTAAAGTACGACGGTTTTCGGGACCTCTCGCGCGCTCGCATGGCTTTCACTAAAGGCCACATGGGAGCGCTTAGCTCGCTTAAACCTGTTTTTGGAAATCTCGCGTGGAAATCTCGCGTGGCTTTCAAGCGCCGACTCACTTGCCCATTAGAGCAGCGCACTACACAACACAAGTATTTTCCTTATTGTAATGTAATTGTTTATGTTACATACATACAGTAAATAATAAAATTGAAAATGGAACAACATGATAATTTTGCAGACAGTGGGATAACAAATATATGTGGTGACAGGAAATCAATGACAAAGAGTTGTGAAAAAATAAATAAAAAGGAAACAGAGACTCAAAAATTGGAGAACAGGAGATGAGAGGACAGGAAATTGGGAATGGGAAACAGGGAGAATGGGAGAACAGGAGATGGCAGGATGGAAAAATGGGAAATGGGAAACAGGGAGAATGGGAGATGGGAGAACAGGAGATGGTGGGATAGAAAAATGGGAAACAGGGAGATGGGGAGGACAGGAGACTCAAACTGGAGAATGGGAGATGGGAGACGGGAGACGGGAGATGGCAGGATGGAAAAATGGGAAATGGGAAACAGGGAGAATGGGAGATGGGAGAACAGGAGATGGTGGGATAGAAAAATGGGAAACAGGGAGATGGGGAGGACAGGAGACTCAAACTGGAGAATGGGAGATGGGAGATGGGAGACGGGAGATGGCAGGATGGAAAAATGGGAAATGGGAAACAGGGAGAATGGGAGATGGGAGAACAGGAGATGGTGGGATAGAAAAATGGGAAACAGGGAGATGGGGAGGACAGGAGACTCAAACTGGAGAATGGGAGACGGGAGACGGGAGACGGGAGACGGGAGACGGGAGACGGGAGACGGGAGACGGGAGACGGGAGACGGGAGACGGGAGACGGGAGACGGGAGACGGGAGACGGGAGACGGGAGACGGGAGACGGGAGACGGGAGACGGGAGACGGGAGACGGGAGACGGGAGACGGGAGACGGGAGACGGGAGACGGGAGACGGGAGATGGGAGACGGGAGCAGGGATTAGCATGGGTATACCCCATGGTAACACTTTTTCCAATCACATATATTACCATTTGAAGGCAAATGTACAACTTCAAAATTTTATACCTATCCATCACTCCTATGGTAATCAATTTGGGGATATATTCCCTGGGGTACAGGGGTCTTTAGATCCAAACCCCTACCCCTACCCTCAAGTTTCCCATACCCCTGCTGATCCCTAGATGGGAGGCAGGGAAAAATGGGAAAATAAATACATTCAATGATACTGTTACATATTTTGTATTTTTTACATTGGTCAAAATCCTGCTCAAAGAACATAGCACTGACTGATCTTATGTACTATTGTACTTTTGAGTTCTTTGAAAAGCTGCTCATAAATATATTTCAAAATCATTCAAAATGCACAATTTATTAGGATGCAGCCTGAGGCCAGGAAGCCAAAGGAACAACACTCATTTTCCTCCCCTGAAGGAGCGCGTAGCGCTCCTTCGATTTGTGCCGAAGGCACAACGGGCGTGAGCTCGTTCCCATTATATAGGACGGCATTATTTCACAAAACATTCTTATTAGCGTTCATATTGACATATTACTTATCGGCGTTATGTAATAAATGTGCACGCGCCATGTGTATTGACTTTCCTAAAACACCTCGCGATCTATTGGAGGGTATCCCTACTATCAGCATCAGCCTCGGCGAGGGTAGCGCGGCTTTATTGTCATCGTAAGCTCTGCAGTTAGGGTGCCATTGCAGTCCACATAAGCAGTATTACTAAAGCAAAGTAGTCCAAGTTAGCCCGAGGTTGGATTAAGGAAGAATACTTACGCGTGCATTGGCCAATCACTCAATTGCCAGGAAACTGCGGGTGTGGTGTCGGGCCCAGTCATGTAATGTTTACATACTCTGTGTATTGGCCAGATCAAGTAAAGAGTAGCCATGTATGAATAATAGGAAACTTTAGTATGCCTTTAAATGAGTGAGAATGATAGACCTACCCCCCAGGTAAAAGAATGTGCGATGTACGCATATAGAGGTGTAGAGGTTGCATAATATCGGAGCCAGGTGACAGTTTGTTGGCCTGAATGTCAAGTACAGCATTTGGGCGCACTGCCGAGCTATCCCGAGAAATACCAAGCTCAACAAACCAATCCCCTGTCAGCATATTCATACCAAAGCGTAACATCCATATACGTCCTTGAGAGAATCAGGTGTTGGTATCAGTGCGAGGAACAAACCAAAATCTTGTACTACATACCCTGGGCAACAAATTCTACTTCCAATTTCCGTGCAGTACGCAGACGCTTCTGGAACATCCTGAAGACAAAATGGACAAAGAAGATGTTACTTCCCACGTTCAGGGTATCCCCTTCACGGACTTGAATATCATCTAGCGGACAACCCAACATGCGTCTCAAAGACCTATCCTTGGCTAATGGTACGCAGTGAGTTACTTTTAGGACATCATGTATCTGCACGTACAATCAACATCATTGTCTCCCAAATGCAGTAGCATAAATGAATCATGGTCGTTCGCTGCCATACATGCAAGACGCAAGTCGGCAGAACAAGCACGTGAGAATTTTGGAATGAATTTAACAAACTCCAGAAGGGCTTCTCGCCGGTTGTTTACAATCGCCCAATACAGCGCCGTGTGGTTCTCGATATTGCGTTTTTGGAGCAGCTTTGAGAACTTTGCCGCTGGGAGAGCAGCAGCGCAGGATTTGATAATCGGGGCGACAGAGGCAACACCGAAACCAGGAGAAGAGACAATTTGATGGATGAGAGATAGAACAGAAGCTTTGTGCTTGGATTGTATGAATGAAAATACGGATTGTTTAGACCGGATGGAATCTTTTGACACGGACACATCATACGATGGAGGTGGGTCGGAGCTGTCATTGAAGGCTATGGTGGCCATCGTAAAGGAGACAAGTTATTCGACAAAATAGGGGCTGGCGCTGGGTCGTCATACCATTCTCTCGGCTCTATCCGTTTCTGCGTCATGCTGTGTTGAGAGAATGGCACCTACGCCTTCGCAATTCGTAACTCCATGAACACAGAATGAGGCCTCGAGGGCCGGCAGCCGACCGAAGGCGAGTCCATGTAAATGATCCATGCTGATTCCAGTCAGAGCGCTGTATAATCTTGCAATGGATACAATGAGATTACATTCAAAGAGCAAGTTGACATGTAGCGCATGTAACGCGCGTGTTCAGTGATTGTCGTTGATCCTGATAGTTGTAGTAAAGGATATCAGGTTTGAAAATCCATGATCATTATAATGTAAAAAGTACTGCTTGCGAGTCAGTTATAAAGTTCTATCTTAGGGATAAGAAATAGCGACGGACTCTATCTCGCCTGGATGCTGATACCTATATGATCTATGGTATGTGTTGCCCAGAAATGGTAAGCCACCCTCGTTCTATTTTATGGTGATGCGAGAGTCATCGATGCTTCCTGTATCTTCGCCTCCTCCTGCGCCCATGAAGGCACAGGGACCCTGTATGTATCTCCGACCCGGGCATATGAAATATCGCCCACACGCGCGACTGGCTTGAACTTTGTGAGGTCGACGGCACCCCTGCCTGTGAGCATGTCTTTGCGCACATGGAAGTACTTGACGTGCGCGAGGATGAGCGTGCTTCTGTGCTCGCCTGTGACTGGGTGGGTGATATCGATTTGTAGAGCTACTGAGAGGCGAGGATGTCAGCGAACAAGCGGGCTCGGTGTGAAATGAATTTACCTCGCATTCCATGCTAAAAGCGCTTTCCTTGACGCGCGAGGCTCTTATTTGCACCTGAACGCGTGATTGTTAGTCCACATCGTATGATGAAGGTGCACGCATACGCATTTCTCCTTTGTCAGACCGCTGAGAGCCTACTCGTCGAAGTCGGGAGGAGCGTCTACGGCAGTCGCATTTGCATTCTCGACGAATGCCTCGCTGCTTGATGTTCACAGAGAATCCTTGGCCGTTCTTCAGGTTCGCGGTCGTGTCTTTGAGGCTGCCCGTAGCATCGTGGTTGATCGCGAATGAGATGACGGGCGGGTAGTTCGTGACATATGGGACGAAGTTATTAGACCATTAAAGGGACGTGTTGTGTGTGGCATCGCTCACTGTGTTGAACCAACTGGTGGATGCAAGCCAGGTAGTAAGCATGCAGAATATGTTATATTATGGAAGTGTGTCTTACCTGAAGGGTGGCAGTGCCAGGTTCTCCACCCCATCCTCGCTGATCGTGGATACCAGTGACATGGGATGTGGTAGAATGCCTGAATTCAAGAGCTTGTTGAGATTGCTGTCGATCACGGTCACGATCACGGATGATAAACATGTGGAGGAGCACGTACGTCTTGTCCATTTCTGCTGTGCTGTAGACTTTCCACTGGAAAGCAGAAGCTCGAGAATTTTCAACACATGTTTTGGGAGGTAAAGCGGAGGGTAAAGCTTTAAAGCCACAATGTACTCGGACAGAGAACTTTGGTTTCGTGAGATATTTCAGAATGTCAGAGATCTGGCCAGTATGGGACAAAGTATGGGACATCGGCACCTCCGAATATTTCATCCTCTACCAATCGGGAAGGACATTCTAATAATCACCAACGTTCAAGTTGCCTGTGTACCTTTTGCGAGGAAGTTCACCCAGTTCACGGTTACCTTTACTAAATAACGTCTACACAGAGGCTTTTATGGATGTTCGGATCTGAAGTGTCACCTCATACTGGAATTGAACAAGGCTCCAAGTTGGAACAGGGCACCGTTAGGTGTGTGAGACTCTGATGAGTCAGTATAAGGCTGTCACGAGCGCTGCACAGCCCGGCGCTTGCACGTGATCAACCGAATCAAAATGTTGCTAAACTCCTGGTGGTCATCATGCCTCAGGCCAGCCCATTATTTTCCTAGCAACGTATCACACCTGCTGCTGTTCAAGCCTCTGGATCTTATTCGATAGTTCTGTCGTCTGCGCGTCATGCACAGCGCTCAGCACTGCATTTCAAGTGATTTGAGATGAATCTTTCTGCCAAACGCTCATACACTGGAACGCGTGTATGTCCACCATGCGGTGCTACCTTACATAGTAACAGAAGCACGTCCATGAGATAGGGTTCCGCGGCATGCTCAGATGTTTGCATGATGGCACGGTTCGCGGGTACTGGCAGCGCTCATTTATGGTTTGATGCAGGTTCGTTGAATTCCCCACTGTCATGGCCAGGTTACCACAGCACTTTCGATTGAAGTGGACTGAATATTCTATCTCCACGGCGTAACAGTTTTGGAGTCGGAGGGAGAGAAATGGTATCGCCGGTTCTTGACACTTGTGAATTCATACTTCAACTATTACGTCGGACCCACATCAGTACTGGCAGTCACTTGTCGGGTCTGGCCTCGTCGGTCTAACCCTGGTCCGATTGATACATATCTCGGTATCACTATGATTACAGGTCGCCAGCTTCTTACTGAACTCAGGTCCCTCCACCATCCCGATTACTTCGGTGCACTTGGCCCCTTCGAGACGTCATAACACGCATACGCGAGACAAGATATGAATACCATGCCAGTCGCGTGGCTGCGCTGATCACATCCCCAATACGGATCAAAAAATTGAGTTACCCGGTGCCACGAAGGCTTTCCCGGACCCTCGTGACATAGTTCACCCCATCCAACATGAAGTCGATTTGGTAACCCGGTCTCTTGTGTTGATCCGCTCTGGGTAACATTGGCATACTCACCAGTATCATTCATTCAACTTGCTTGTTTGAAGGTTGCAACGGCACAGCGCGTAACCAATGTATCTCTTCCACCATCATTGTAACGAAATTTCACAAACCTGAGAGCTTAGTGGAAATCTGGCGATCCAAGCCAACGCTCGTGCCTCTTGTCGCGCTGCGGTGGGAACAGCGCCATAGAGCAGGCAAGTCAAAAGTCATAAAGGTAACTCATTCTGCAGAACCCAGAAGACACATCAACCAACTCCACGTAAACCAACTCCTCTTTGATCCAATATGAACCCAGTTCGGTTCGTGATAACATTCTCTACCTTTTCTTTGGCTCACTGTCATTTATTTCAGTTCGTCCGACAAGTCCATGGTCCAAGATATGCTCCTGGAATTCAATGGGGTGAATCCCATCCTGATCGCTCGGGATGCTCTGCATGAACATGATACCGAGGTCAGAGTGCACCCGTGTGACTGGAAGGGGGGCTGCAGGATGCACATTCCTGTGGAGCTCAAGCAGGTTTCTAAACATCTCAAGCAACATCATGGTATCAACACCAGTGCCACCAGCGGGGACACGCAAAAAATTACCTGTCTTTGGACCGGTTGTCTCGATACCCATACGAAACCAGGGAATCTCTCACGTCATGTCCTGACGCAGCATCTTGGGGTACGATGGATTTGCTCGAAGTGTGGGTCTTCACTCTCGCGGGAGGATGCTTTTCGACGACATTCGCTCGAAAGTTTGAGCTGCCAGTCTGCGGAAGTCGTTGTTGACTACGGAGACGAATCACGGGTGATTGACCTAGTGTACATTGATGGAGGTTGGTCGGCTAGCCAGAACGTCATATTGATATAGTCCTCGGTGTTACCTTACAGTGACATCCCTATTGTTTTGTATTCCAACCTCGTATGTATCTATAGCTCCTGTCAGTCTCTTACAGTATACTCCTACTAAGTTGATCTAACCTATTTGTACTGGAAATTATGTATTTTTTCCTTGGATTTCGTTGTGGTGTCGACCATTAAGTTGTTTGATTCTCTGCAGATCAAGGTACTAAAATTTCAGTGCCATCCAACCGCCTTCCAAGGCCTGAATTTGACCCCTACAACTTGAGTCATTATGCTTGCTTCTAGATGGCAGTGCGTCGGAGGGATAGAAGTTGATACAAGTCTAACCGAGCAAATGTCTTTCCACAACTACCGCATTCCGTTTTGTTGTCCAAATGAACCACAACGATGTGCCGTGGTATGCTCTCCTTCATTTTCTTCCCGCAGCCCTCCCATCGGCATGAAGTCCTATCTTTGTCGCCGCCAGGTTTTACACCGTGGTGTAGTCGGAGGTGTTGCGCCACTTCGGACTTGTCAACAGTCAGAGCTGAGAAGCAGGACCCACCATCCCAGCCGCAGAAGCTTGAGGTGTCATTCATATCGTCCATCAATAATGTACAGTCACTCTTTCTCTCCTCCGGCCACGATGGTGTAGGTGAATGAAGATCAACTCCGCTGCCAAAACTAGATAGATAATCATCGCCGAAGTTCTGCGCGTGAGCATTGAATGATGGTTCGATATGACAATCGTTGGCGTGCCCATTCGCCCACTGGCATGCAATCGCAAGACAAACTCCTGTTAGAAGACGACGTGGCGGCAGGCGACTGCGGAAGAGCATGGTGACTCCACGTTTAGGATGAAGCGTCATCCATAGAGGGGGTCATGGAAAGCTCTGGAGGGAAGCTGTTGGGAAACTCAGGAAAAGGTTCCGGGTTGAATAAATATTCAGGCCCGCTAAGATAAGGTGTGTCCATTCCAAGAGGTGTGTGGATCCATTCTGTTGTCTGGATCAAGAGCGGCGTGTGGACGGCTCATAGAGGACCGGACCCGAACCGAGCTGCGGGCCTGCGGCAGCTTTAGTTGTTACTGTGATCAAGTCGAACAGTGGCGTGGCTCATAAATTTTTAAGTTGCGTCGCCTGCAGGCTGCTAAGCCTCGCTTTGTTGAATTCATCGTCATCGGCACGCAGGTTTCAAACCCCCAGCCTTGCCTTCGGCTGAAGAAGATTTCCATTAAACAGTGACGCCAGCTCGAATTTGGAAAGGCACGCTTCAAGTTCATTCATCATACACAGGTTAGTATCGGGGCCGGGAACTATCACTGATATGTCAGTAGGGCATCTTATCACACAATCAGAGTTCGATTTAACGCCATGTAGTAGATATGGGGTAATCGGTAGGAGATTGATACCTACTACCGGTGACTGTGCTAACACTGCTGCTAGCGCTTCGCTGAGCCCCCTAGATATGCAGCTATACCTCTTTGGGCCTCTCTATACAAAATGTATTTAATGGGACGGTGAGTCGGTGACCCACCCTCCATACTTACAACTCGGACCCACCCATCTTTCTCATTCTATTGAACTCGAAGATTCATCACAATTTTCCTCCAAGACTTTGAGTGTTACTGTGAGTTGCAATACTTCATCCTTCGACGCTGAACCCGAATCTAACTCTTCAAAATGTATTGACAGGAATAAGTCTTGTGCGAACTCTAGTGCAACCTTCATTTTTTGAATTCCAGTGACACATGTGGGTGTTGGGACCGCAATCTTCTTGAATGAATGCTACTAAAGTTCTTATCTTCTGCAGTACAGCAGCACATGAATTGGGTTTTAGTAATCATAGACAACAGTGCCGGCGCCAAGCTGTGGTTCAGCGATGGCCAGCCCATCGGAGCAATCCGTGGCGGGTGCGAGTCGAGTCACAGGCTGATCATTGACAAACAAGGTTTCATCGATATCACTGTACCCTACTCAGTACTTCCGTCTATCGTCGATCTGAACAATACGGTCGCCATCTGCCCAGAAGATTCGGTGAACATTAACCTCACAATCCCTGGGGATGGTTCTTTCTCATTCTCAATCACTCCATCTACGTCTGTTCACAGATCTGTCCTGACGGGGACGTTAAAGCCACTGCCGGAGGTGTCGGATGTTGATGTATCATTTTTCGACAAGATGATGGACTTGCACTATGTGCCATACCAAGACGTACCAGACGCGCCAGGCAGGGACGTAGAGGAGATTAAAGCTTTAGGGTTACTCCACTTTCCGTTCTCGCCACACAGCTTTCAGCTGGCAATGGCGGTCTATGACTGGACGACTGCATCATTTGCGCGCATGGTGCTGATGAAAATATTTGAGTACACTAGTATCTCAGCCACGCCGTATCCTCTTGACTCTCCAAATATTGCAACCGCGATCTGGAAGTCAAACTGGGGCTCGTACGTTCCAGGCAACAAGGCCTACATGAATTCTTTTATGATGAAGCCCGCATCCACGTTGCAAGACGTTCAGGATCAGCTTCGCGACATCAAGGCTCTCCTGCAGAAGTTTAGTGCCGTTCAAAACCGGTTACTCAGTGCTGCTTTTGCGGCGATGCCTCGCACATCCGTCTTTTATGCGCCTCAATTATTCAGCGGGCAGCTTGACATATCCCAGCTCAGCCTCGATTACTTCGGCATCGAGATGCTAGAGTGCCCCCTCAACGCCGGGCCGACTAGCGAATCGCTCGTGGTGTCTTTGGAGGCAGCGATGGCAACTTTCGTCAAGGTGGGCAGCACTATCACAACCAAGATGGTCTGGAGCTTTGCGGATTCGATCGACATCGCAAAACATTACCAAAATGGCCTTATAGTGGTGGTCAACCCTCTCGACAACGACTCGTGGGTCTGGGATGCGGCAAGCTATATCACGCCGCTCTCGGATGATCCTGAGAAGAATGAGTACACATTCGCTCCAGGGACGTCATTCGTTGTGGAGTCACTAGACGTACGGGATATTGATGAGGATGAGAGGAACAAGTCCGTTCAGTTTCTGACTCTGAAGTTGCATGCTCCTGGCTCCATTCTCGATGATCGAACCACGCAACCTCCGAGTCGGCCTCCACTCGATAACATTCCTGCGCGCCGTTCTAGTGGCCCCAAGTTCAATCACCATCTGCACGAATAAGACGGGTGGAAGACGATGTCATTGTGTTGATGATGCTGAAAGGTATGCGACAATGTTTATTGGTTACGGTTTCTGCTAACAAGTTTGGACCACAAGAACGAAAGGTCAGGATAAGTAGGATGTGCGCTTGAGGCTTTGAAGTACCAATCCAATGCGAAGTATCGTATATGTAGTTTTATCTTGTGCACAAGTGATGTACTTCGACCAGCTGGATCCCTCCACGCCACGTGGCCAGCCCTCGAGTCGATGTCACCAACAATTCCATTTCTGCAGGTGGCGTTTTTTCCCGGAACCCACCCGTTCCTTGTTGATTCTGCATGAGAGATACGAGCACCAGATGTTGAACAAGCAATGTGCGAATTTAAGGATGTACACCAATGTCCCGGTCATTGGTCATATTTCCGACACACCCTCATTTCGAAGCCTTGATATTGTTCGTCTTCGGTGTAACTCGACGGTTTACGAACTACCATTTAAAACCCTGGAAGATGGTTGCCTCGAGCTCCAGATCCCTGCCGCAGGATACAGGCAATTCGTTTATGAGTATTCGTAGGTTATACTTACTACAATAGCAACTTTTCCAGCATGTATACTGCACATACAGTAGCAGTAACGATTCCACTTCTGCTTCTGGAGAGGAATACTTGAATGCTGTAACCCCCGACGGCATATACCTGATTTTCCGAAGTGACATCGGGAGCAGCTCTGGCTCTGGCTTCGATTTTGTCAACCGTTCTTGTTTTCCATGCATGCTACATTTTACTAAGCAAGAAGTTACTGAATCATGTCTTCCCAGGAAGCGCCTTTACTCAGTGTTCGACATGAGGAATTCTAGAGCTCTCGGGTTTGCCGAGACTGCGTACACCAATGGCATGTAACTGCGGACCTCTGAAAGATGAAGGTTTTACCCTTCTTGATATCTGATGTTACATAAATCTCTCAAGTGCCTCTGTTTTTGACGATCCCTTCACCAGTACCTGGCAATCTGCATACGAGAACGAGGGATTTCCTCTTCAACTTTGTGTTGGTTGTGCCCATGTCACGTACGTGTTTCCACGACTGAGCTGACATCGAATCACTGGCGGATGTATATGTCTAGTAGTTATTCAAGGTCCTTGTAAGTACTTTGATGACAAAGTTCAAGCAGAACAAGGAATTGTGAGGTGAGGTGAGGGCGCTAACGTATTGATACAAATGCACCGGTACTCTAGCAGAAGCTTGGTGACGTATTCTGAATTGGTTTGGGAAGTGTTCTTGCATAGATTTGCAATATCGACGCCTTAAGGCTTCACTTTCATGTGTTCAGACGCGTCCAGTACAAAAGCTCAGACAATCGGTGAACAAATATTGTCGATTTCTTATATACATCCACTAGCGTTCGATGGCCTCGCAGATACCAGAGGTTGGTCATTCAGTAGATTCGCTAGCAGGACTGACATCAATGTTACTGTGCAGCATGCTCAAATCCTTGTCGTCGGTGGAGGTCCCTCTGGCAGTTATACTGCCTCGGCCCTTGCCAGGGAAGGCCTCAACGTCGTTTTATTGGAGGCTGCCCAGTTCCCTCGGTAACAGACTTGTCAAAAGTGTTCAGGCATCCCCCTTGACGATTATCATGTAGGTATCACATTGGGGAAAGCCTAATTCCTTCAGTTCGTCATTACCTGAGGTTCATTGATGCGGAGCAGAAATTGGTCGAGATGGGTTTCAAGCACAAGGTACGATCAAAGTGTTCTCGGATAATAGGGCCCAAATGATATATTGTCATTAATAGCCCGGAGCTGCGATAAAGTTTAATCAATTTAAACGGGAAGGATGTGAGTGATAGCAGCAATAGGCCCAAGAGAGTCACACTCACCTGCTTCCAGACACGGACTTCATTGTGCTTGGGCATACTAACAGTTCATGGAACGTAGTATGTACTTGACATCTTTTCCTTCCTTGAAAATCAACGCTCCATTTAGGTGCGCTCGACATTCGACAAGATGTTGCTTGACCACGCAACATCCTGCGGAACAAAGGTGTTTGAACAAACGAGTGTGAAATCCTTCCGCTTCTCCCCAACCGAGTCTTCCAGGCCTGTGGCTGCTGAATGGTTACGTGCTGCAGATGGAAAAACCGGAGTGATTTCATTCGACTATCTTGTTGATGCATCCGGGCGCTCAGGATTGATGTCAACCAAATACTTACACAACCGTCATTTTAACGCATCATTAAAAAACATTGCACTGTGGGGTTATTGGGTGGGAGTCAATACATATGGCACGAATACCCAAAGAGAGGGTGCCCCTTGGTTTGAGACACTGAGAGGTACGCATCGTGTTGTCAATAGTGAGAATGCGTTGATTGAGCCAATGCACACCAGATGAATCCGGCTGGGCTTGGTTTATTCCTCTACACGATGGAACAACTTCCATTGGCGTCGTTATGAATCAAGACATTCATAACGAGAAAGTCCGTGCCTTGAAAGGCAAATCTCTGGAATATCGCTATCGGCTTTCCATAACCCTAGCTCCAACACTAGTCAAGCTCATCGGAACTGGAAAGATGGTACAAAAGGAGACTGCCGGGGGACAACCTGGGCAGCTTGACCTATTGGTAAGATCAGCGTCTGACTTCAGCTACTCCGCTTCGAGCTACGGGGGACCTGGCTTTCGTTTGGTCGGGGACGCTGGTGGTACGAATTTGCATATCTCCCTTGTCTATATGACGAAGCTGATACACGAGTCTTCAGCGTTCATAGATCCATTCTTCTCCTCCGGGATACACCTCGCAATGACCTCCGCATTATCTGCAGCAGTATCTATATGCGCCGCAGTCCGAGGAGATTGTTTAGAAGTCGAAGCAGCTGCATGGCACACGAAGAGGTTTTCTTTGAGTTACACAAGGTCCGTCCATAAGTAGATGGATTTACTCTTGCTGATCAGATTTCCATGTGCAACGTAACCTGTATAGATTCCAGATAGTGGTGATGAGCGCCTATCAACAGATACGAACGACGGATCTTGATATCCTGAGCGATATTGACGAAGATAATTATGATCGAGCATTCGCTGCCATTCGACCAGGTACCACTATCATTGCATGATACGGCCAATATCAAAGATGCTGACTTTTATTGCCACACAGTAATCCAGGGTGCATCGGAGATGGGGAGCCGGTTGAGTGAGAAGGAGCTTCAGAGTGCACTGGAGTTCTGCGGCAAGTGCTTCAATCCCACGTCGCCTGGGCACCTTGCACCCGCTTCGAAAGAAGCTCTTCCAAAATATATGTTCGATGTTACAGCTCCACTCATGGATCCGCACGTTATTGAAAGCATTATCTCGAAGACATTCGACCATACGAATCCGACAGGTGACCAGGACTTCTGTGGACCTGAGGAAGACCTGAAACTCGCTCTGGACCAAATCAACAGCCGAAGAGTTGTGCATCGAGAGTATGCTATCAATAATCTCGAGGCTGAGGACGTGAATGGATTTGTGGTGAGGTTACAAAGAGGACATCTTGGATTGATGCGCACGTAGTTGATTCGGAGGATGATTGGTCAGGTTTGTTGTCAACAGAGTACACGGTGTACATAATTCAAGGTCACGGTGTACCGCAAGTTAAACCACAATAATTGAAAAAGTTCTTGACTCGATCATCATGCATCATGGACTGAAATACGATTCGGCTCATGTCAAGCTCATGTTGAACCTGTTCTGGCAGCACTACAATAAGCCACCTACTGCTAGAAGGCCCAACACAAACCAGCCGTCTATTACGCCCAGTTGAACTGCGTGTCAGTGCAAAGTTCAAACGAACATCCACTGCCAGCATCCCGTTATGTGCTGTCTTATTATCTGCCATATGATCTGCCTGGGGGGAGACTGGTTCAACCAAGCTTTGAAGTTCGTAGCGAGTACGTTGCCAATTTCCGAATCTCCTCAAGGCTTGGCAAAATGGAAATCCATAATGATGATCCCAAGATTTTCCGAGTCGTGATAATGCCACACCAAGCTTTGAAAATCAAAGCATAGCCATAACTTGGGTGGAATTGAACGTGTCCAACATTCTCACCTCTCGTCATCTGGTTGTCCAGATTTGTCGGGCGTCAATGTGCCAGGAGTCTTCAAGTTGCAACACTTTAGGATCTTGGTCTGGGCATGAATGACTCTGACTCTGACAGTCCTCGGTACGGTTTTGATTTATAGCGTGCTTCGTCGTTGACTCGGAGCTGATTCATTTCTTCAAGCTGGATACAGGCCAAGGACTGCCATGCCATGCCAGAAGCGTTCAAGTTCACGCGTTCTATGCTATATCCATCTCATAGGGCGAAATGTTTCCCTGGTTCGCGTTGCCATTGGAATCATGTTTTATTTCATGCCAGAACTCAATACGGTAGGCAATCTACTTGATTGTGACGCTATTTAACATGTCCTGGTGATCATCCAGATATCCAGGTAAATCATTTAAACGACCACCATGCGGCTGTCGGCGCGAGGCCCTTGGCTTTTTGGCTCGGCGATTTTGATAGCGACGAATCATCCTCTGATGACGTACAGCGATCACAGCAACCCAGGATAGAACATCCAAGAAGTTCACCCCTGCGTCTCGCGAGATTTAGAACCTAGCTTGCGAATGTCACATGGTCAATTGAATTGGGAGCCAACTCATATAAAGCATTTTGATGATTGAAGAGCTGATCTTATCTCTCACTTGGCCTTCGAACAGCTGTTCCAAATGATGTTCCCTTCCAAGGCTTTCCTGTCGATCTTCTTTGTCGTGCTGTCCTCTGCCGACGCATCTCCTTTACGCCCTGACGCTGGCAAGGCAACCCTCAGCTTTGCCACCAGGGTGAACGTCAGGGGTGCTGTTAATATCGCTGCCGCCGACAGGGCTCGCGTTCAGGCGATGAAGCAAGCTGGTTCCATGGGCAAGCGTGCTGGCAAGTCCTCTTTCAGCATAGCCAACGCTATCGTTACGTACACTGCCCAAGTTGGTGTCGGTAGCCCTGCCACTGAGTGTAAGATCGACCGTCAGCTAGCTCAGATAACTTCTGATTAGACAGTTTATCAGACACACTCATTATTGATACGGGCAGCTCCAACACCTGGTTAGGTGCAGCCACCTCATACAGTCCCACTAGTACTAGTGCGGATACTGGCAGCACTGTTGTATGCTGTTTCTCATACTCTGTTCATGAAAAGGTGTTTATGACAACACTGTAGTCCGTGTCTTATGGTTCCGGTAGTTTCTCCGGAGAGGAATACACGGACACCGTTCATTTGAGCACTGGTCTGGTCATTGACGAACAATCCATCGGAGTTGCGAGCTACTCGCAAGGCTTCGATGGCGTGGATGGAATTCTTGGAGTCGGACCAGCTGACTTGACGGAGGGTACCGTTTCCAACGTCAACGTTGTCCCCACTGTCACAGACAACCTCTACAGCCAGGGTGTCATCGGCACCAAGGCACTCGGAATCTACTTTGTTCCTGCTGCTGCCTCTGACAGTGTTGGCGAGCTCACCTTTGGCGGGCACGATAGCTCAAAGATAACGAGCCCGGTGACTTACGTGTCTCTCACGACTACGTCACCTGCTAGCGATTACTGGGGCATCGACCAGTCTATTTCCTATGGAGGTTCCACCATTTTGTCTGAGACTGCTGGTATTGTCGACACCGGCACGACTCTCGTTTTCATCGCCTCCAGTAGGACAAGTCATTCATAAATGGGACGTCCCATACTGACTTGGAGAATATTAGATGCGTTCAGCACGTACCAGACTGCCACTGGTGGCGTATTGGATGAGACCACCGGTCTCCTGAAGATAACCTCTAGTCAGTATGCTAAGCTGCAAAGCCTGACCTTCAAGATTGGTGACAGAGCCTACGATCTGACCCCCAACGCCCAAATTTGGCCGCGTTCCCTCAACACGTACCTAGGCGGAAGCAGTGGTGACATCTACCTTATCGTTGCTGATATCGGCAGCGACTCTGGTTCTGGATTGGATTTCATCAACGGTTACGCATTCCTGTTAGTGTTTAAGTAGCTTTGGCTGGTATGAGACTGACGACCTATCACACAGTCAACGCCACTACTCTGTCTTCGACACCACCAACAACCAAGTCGGCTTTGCAACCACCATATACACTGATGATACGAGCAACTGAAATACCTATTTGCTGAATTGATACTCATAACGCACGTGTGTACGTATGTTTTATAGTTGTAGGTGGTTGTTCGAGGTCGATGGGAGCTTTGCGAGTACTGGGGGTGACGTCGAGCATATCGTTCGTTGTAAAAATATAACTTTTCAATGCGCTAAAACTCCAAGTTGCCAGATCAACTGCACAGCTTCTAGTTTGGACTTGGTTTGAACCGTACTTGAGTCATCATGTGACCGGTAATTCCCAAAAGAAACATGAAACGTAATGTTATGCCGCTTCAACAAGCTGCCTACTCCCGATACGCAAGAAAATAAAGGTGAACAGTACTTACTGATCCAATCGATCATGCGTATGAGTGTAATGCTGGGCTCGTTCCGTCATGATGATACGTGCAGCAGTAAATTTTCATCCTTTCAACTTTCAAGACCTGTATTGCATCGAGCGCTGACAGGCCATACTAAATCTAGTATCGTCATACATGCAGTGCAGAGAACTGACCACGGAATCTTCATGTATGGACATGTTTGGTGTGATCTGAATCAATATCCTGTACACCGTCTCTACAACAAGCATAGGATTTCTCTTCTCTTCTCTCTCTTATCCTCCCTTCGCAGGGCTTATCCAAATTCCATCAGATCCCTCAAATCGAATTCCAAGCTTGAATAATCGATCTAGCAATGAGCCGCCAGCCGATCTCGCGTCACACCTTCACCGCGCTTAATAGCACTTTCATCGTCGACGGCGAGTACCAGTTCGTCAAGGAGCTTGGTCAGGGCGCGTACGGTTGTGTCGTTGCTGCCCGTCACCGCCGATCAGGCGAGGGATGCGCGATCAAGAAGATCACGAACATTAATACCAAAGTGCTTATTTCTGCTTGTTCACTGCGCACCAGGCTAAACAGGCGCTGTATCATAGAGGATCCTCACCAAGCGGTGCTTGAGAGAGATTAGGTGCGTTGTGCAGTCAAGTACATCCCGAGTATGACGCTGATCATAGCATGAATCAGATTGTTACATCATTTCAGGGGACACAAGAACGTACGCCAACCATATGTGCATTAGGCCTACATTTCACACATTCCTTTACAGATAACATGTCTATACGACATGGATATCGTCTTTCAATCTAGCGGGAATTTTGACGAAGTCTATCTCTATGTCTGTTCGCCTCATTATTCGCCTCTGGTCCCACTGATCCCTACATTAGGAAGAATTGATGGAGGCTGATCTTCATGCCATCGTGCGTCCTTTCCCACTCTTGACTGATCTGACACTCAAAACCCGACGGCGCTTGCATACAGATCCGGTCTGGACAACCGCTCACCGACGCACACTTCCAGTCCTTCCTTTACCAGACGCTCTGCGGGCTTAAATACATTCACAGTGCCAACGTACTCCACCGCGATCTCAAGCCCGGAAATCTTCTTGTCAATGCAGATTGTGAGCTCAAAATATGCGACTTTGGCTTGGCTAGAGGGTGCGCGTGCTCCTCGCTAGTATATTTGCACTCCAGAGACTAAATTAACGTTGTATTTAGCTTTACCCCCGGTGGTGGCACGAGCAAGAGCGCCGGAAACCAGGGTTTCATGACTGAGTACGTCGCAACGCGATGGTACCGTGCGCCAGAAATTATGCTTAGCTTCGCGAATTATGTGTGTGCCACTTTCCTTTCTTGTCTATCACTTCGGCATTCTTTCTTGTAGCCGGTTTTACACTAGCTAACCTCAATGTCTATAGACAACGGCCATTGATGTCTGGTCTGTCGGCTGCATTCTTGCCGAGCTCTTGGGTGGCAAGCCGATTTTCAAAGGACGAGAGTAGGTTCATTCCTACTCCATTACGGGCAATTTGCGCATGCATCGAATCGATGAATTGATACTGACCATCGATCATTTGCATAGCTATGTTGACCAACTGAACCAAATTCTTCACTACCTCGGCACGCCCTCTGAGGACACCCTTCGCCGTGTCGGATCTCCAAGGGTATGTGCTCTGTCAAGTCATCAATATACCTAACTCACTCGAATCACAGGCTCAAGATTACATCCGCTCTCTCCCCATCAAGCCACGCGTACCTTTCCAGACACTCTACCCGCACGCCAACCCACTCGCCATCGATCTCTTGCAGCAGATGCTCTGCTTCGACCCTGCCAAGCGCATCAGCTGCGAGGCTGCGCTCAACCACCCGTATCTGCAGGTGTGGCACGATCCCGCCGATGAGCCGGTCTGCGATGCCGTAAGTTTAATTTCTCGTTTCGAAGGACCAGGATGCTCAAACTAGGTTGACGCACTCAGAAATTTGACTTCTCGTTTGAGGAGGAGGACTCTATCGAGGGGATGAAGAGGCTCATTGTCGAGGAGGTCCAATCGTTCCGTGCTGAGGTACGCGCCCAGGCGAGGGCCACGGGCCAGATCAAGAGACAAGACAGGTCAGCATCATCCTGGCGCTTCTTTTATCTCCCTCGTTACGAACCTGATCATTAAACCATCTTAGCCTGCCCATTCCCTCTCGGGACGAGATTATCAGCTCGCCGGTCCAGGAGTACGGCCCTGTACACGGTGCAACGTCTGGCTACACGGCGCCGTCCCAGCGCGCGCCGTCGCCTATCATGGATGACCCTAGCGATGCGCTTGAGAAGGAGCTTGCGGGAACGCATATTGGGAGGCGATGATTATTCACCGGCACCAGCCAGTTGGTTTGAACATGATTCTTACTTCACGTGTGTTCTTGAACGTTGTGATTGTTTGTTAGAACTCGTAATGATGTACTACGGAAATGGAGGAAGTAATTTGGAAAATGCAGGGGTGCTATATACATACATACATACCGTACTGGTGTTTGAATCGTTTGTTGTACTGAGACCAAGATAGAGTTTGTCCCGTAAAGTTGCACCGGACAAACAACCCCGCACTTCTAAATCCCCGACTCGGCCGACAAAGTTATTCAGTACTCAGTGAGTATTGGTTTCCCTTTCTTTGTTGACACCGTACTCGGGCTTCTTTTGACAATACCACTCGAATCCTGGCTTCTCATGCCTTCTGATCCGCTCGCCTAGCCTGAGCGTCACCGGTGTCACCAAACACTTTGTTTGACAAGCCGTCTGAGGTCAGGACGAAGCAAGAGCTGATATGATCACTACAGAGTGCGAATGAGGTAATAAGTTCTCGCGCTTGCAGATTCTCTTGTAGGTGCCTAGACGTTTTCATCTGACATAACCCTCTCTCTACCGGGGATAGAGTCTGTCCCTTAATTTTGTGTAAAGTTGCACCGGACAAACAACCCCGCACTTCTAAGCTGAAATAAACTTGGATCACGCAGTCGACAATCACTGGGGCCTTGAGCTTGAGCTCGAGATCTGAGAGCTGGCAAGTATTGGCAGTGTCGCGGATCGAACCGGCTAGAGATCCATGTGCTCGCCTGTGTGTAAATTTGGGTGTGTCTCCTTCCGCCCAAAGCCCTAGATTGTTGCCAAAGTCTCCGGCTTGGCTTAATTGCTGCTCATATATAGGTACAGACACTGCAGGTGGCCATCTTTGTTCATTATAACTTATATCCTCATTCGCCCCATTACCAAGTGATTGAAACTGGTGGGTGCCCAGTGCTTCTGGTCACTGCGCATACTGACGTGTTCAAAGAACATCATGTCGCTTTTCCTCTGTGTTGACTGTGGTGGATCCAAGACGTCTGCTGTCATTACAGACAGATCTGGCACGATACTCGGGCGCGCCCTGGGAGGCCCATCTAACTTTGCGTACATGTCTGCGTCGGCATTTACAGATGCTGTTCGCGTGGCAGTATCTAATGCATTGAAGACCTGCGTCTCTCCACCATCTATCGACCCTATTCCCCTCCCTCCCAACACTGAGATGTTCGCATCCGCATGGTTCGGTATATCCGGCGTTGATTCCCTAGCTGCAGTCGCCAATGCCTCAACAGCGCTCTCCGCTCTCCTCGGGATACCCCTGGGTCCGCGGTTGGTCGTAGCCAATGATACACATCTCCTTGCTGCCCCGCTTCGGCTTCATCCTGATATCAAGCATGCTGTTGCTGCGATAGGCGGCACAGGATCCTGCGTCGTTTCATTTCAGCACCAGCCCTCGGGCATGCTGAGTGAACTTGCGCGGACTGGCGGGTGGGGATGGATTCTAGGAGATGAAGGGGGAGGATTTCACGTGGGCCGCGAGACCATGCGTCAGATGATGTACGATACTGCGCGTTCGTCGCTGGGGATGGAGCCAGTTACCCCCTAGTAGCCTCAAAGCGAAGGTGCTTGAAAGCTTTGGGATCCACGGGGTAGAGAATGCCCCAGAGGTGCTGCCGGTGGTGCACTTGCCCGAGCCGAGTACAGCAGAGGCAGCTGCCACTGTTCCATCGTACCTCCTCGTTGCGCGCGAGAAACGGTTAAGCCAGCTTGCGCCACTCGTTTTTGAGGCTGCGTTCAAGGACAAGGACCCCTTCGCGTTGAATGTGTTGAAGGTCTGTGCTGAGGGACTTGCGGATCAGATCGCCATGCTTTGCCGTGAGCCTGGAGAGGGTCCGAATTTGAAACCAAGAGCAGTGGAAGCAAATAAGGCCGTGTTATGTTTTGGAGGGAGTTTAGTTGGCATTGAGGATTATAGGGCGTTGGTACGTGAGGCATTGGCGAAGAAGGGACATGTCTTTAGATATGTGGAGTTCGTTGACGACGCTGCGGCTGTAGGAGCGGTAGGGCTAGCGTCTTTGGGGAGGACATGAGTCTCTGTCTGCTCGCTAGCTATGGAATTTGTTACTCGAGTGTAGTTGAGTCGAAGGTAATACCTGCCCTAAATATTTCCACGGTCCCCATACAAAAACCACCTTGAGTTTTCTCTTTTTCTCCTTTGTGCGGCGACACGGCCAGACCTTCCCCATGTTGCTCATAGCTGCCCATAATCCACGCGGCTGTTTGAGTGTCAGGCCGTGTCCTGAATAATTGGACGTCTTAGTACCCATTATCGCGTCATCCGACTTTTCTGGAGAAGCGACGGGTCGGTGGTTCATACATATCCATGTTTGTATATCATCTATTATGGAAGCATAGCAGTGCCCATGTGCCGAAACCTTACCAGTGAGCACTATCAGCTAGTTTTTCGGAGTCGAGATATAGATCATAGGGTGACTATCCGTATGCTCGATCATTGGAATAGACAGCAGTTAAGGAAGCTTTGTTGTGCTACGATGTCATGATAACTAGGTGGATAACTCAATTTGAACTCCCACCACCAACACGCGTTTTTCATTGATTCATCACATGGTATTGACAATGAGCCCTTCTTATTATAGTGTTCCGCGAGGTAACTCAATTCATTTCTGATAGGAACTCAGCACGGTTGTGGGACACGCTGAGAGTAATACTATTGGTTATAACTTATCACAACTTCGGACGGCCGCTGGTGTGAATATCTCACTCAACTCTACTTCAAATCATATTCTACTTGACCACATCATTGTATATGTACACTTGTGATACTAGGGGTCGGCGTTGCCGACGTGGACCTTGCTCACATTCCGTCTTTTTCTAGCTCTATCGTGCTCGTTTAGTCTGGCTTCGTCCCAGGATTTCTTCTGACATCACTATATAGCTACTACTGCATTGTTTCTTTCAGTGTACTGCACTATGGTACCTTGTTTTCTGTCAGACTGTCTGTCCTCGAGAAACGCTTTTTCGTTTCCTCCGCGAGTCGCTCAATCCTGTTATCTTCTATCCGAAGGTCTTCGTTTGGATGTTGAAGGAATAGATCATTGTCGAAGTCTCTGAGAAGACGTATGCATTCTCGGCCGTGACTTCTGGATAGTGCGACGTATGCATTGAAGGGAGATAGGCGAAAACATGTCGTTCTTCCAATGTCCACTAAATCGTGATCAATCGTCTGTCCTTGTGCTTTAAAGTCGGTAAATGCGTAAGCTGGTGTTACAGGGAGTTGACGCCGCGTGGTTCTTGTAGAAGGACCTGTGCCCATGGAAAATTTAATTTCGCAAGGTAACACTGGTATGTGCTGAGGCAGAAGTCCGTGCAATGGCGGTAAATCGCAGAAGTCGAGGTGAATGATAACAAATGCAGGGGGATAATGCAAGAATGCTCTCTTTGCTTCCACAGCGTTGCTCCCAATCTTTGGCTCTCTGGGATCCAGAACGATATCAGTAATTCTCAGTCTATACTCACTGAAAATGAAAGCACATTGATTGTCTGACATCAGTAAATCAACCCTAAGTTGATATGACCGGGTAGTGCTGACAAATAGAACTCATTATGATGCATCTAGATTTAGAATTGCACATTATTATCCTTGTGCAACATATATACGAGAGAATATATGACTTTGCTAGGAAGATTTCATTTTGACACACCTCTTATAAGTATGCAACATATGTATGAAAGACTGCATGACTATGCTAGGTAAATCTCATTTTGTTATGCATTTTATAAGTAGATATCAATGTGACAAGTGACCAGGCAGAGCTGACAAATTGGACTCATTATGATGCATCTAGATCTAGAATTGCAAGTCATTATCTTTGTGCAACATATATACGAGGGAATATATGACTTTGCTAGGAAGATTTCATTTTGACACACATCTTATAAGTATGCAACATATGTATGAAAGAATACATGACTATGCTATGTATATCTCATTTTGATATATATCTTATAAGTAGATATCAATGTGACTAGTAACCTCCATAGACTGCAATCAGCTGGCTGTAGATCATCAAATTTATAGCATGTCGCAACACTTTGTTCAGGTTAGCTATATGCCTGCGAAAACCGCAATTGTGACGATGAATTGACAATGTCTTATAATGCGATGGCCAGGCGCCATCAGAAATCAACGAGGATATAATTTTCATATGTAATGACAATTTTACGACAATTAAAATACAGTATGACAATAAATTGCACTTGGTGATTGAGATTTAAGTGGTAGCACCTAGTATCGAACGCAACTGGTTGAGACCGCAGTGATGTGCAAATTACCTTGGAAATAAGCTGGCGTGCAGGGCGACCGATCACATAGTACTAGATCACCTCAATCTTGATATGAAGGCTGAAAGTTTCGATACTATTTCATGATGGGTACTGCCGAGCGAATGGTAATTGACTATCAGAGACATAGAGAAGTAGCACAATTGACATAGATCCAATCTGACGTACAACTAGCTTAAATAGAAAAATATCGATACAACGTTAAAGAAATGTCCCAAACTACGATCAGGGAGGAGTCAGGGCTACAAACCGATAACACAACTACAATCGAGAAGATTACATCAGTAAAGAGACATTGGAAGAGGCATATGAAGATGAAAACCAATCATCAGACCAATCATTGTTATGTCCATACGTCACAGCACTCCCAGAAGAACCTGCAGAAATCTTAGTATGAGAACAGAAGCAAGGGCTGCACGCTCACCATCAGACTCGGTGCCCTCGGACTCAGCAATGCGTGATAGGGCTTCAGACAGCATATCCACTTCTGTCTGTGCGCGGTGCTTCTTCAGGTCCAGAATATGAATATCGGACCTAAGCTGGTCCAGACTTTTGGACTCTTTGGCTTTGAAGCCGTGCCTGTTATTGAGGTACGGGGGCTTGCTCTCTGCAAGAGACGCGTTCACATATGTACGATATGTGATGTGATCCACCCAAGCTTTCAGAAAACGTGGCAGGGAAAGAAATATATCTTTGGACTACATAGCATCAGAATACAAGGTCCCGTAGCATAGTGATAGCACTCACGATCGGGGAGTATTCGATTTCTAGAGTCTGTGGAAAATCAATTTTGCGGCTGACATTAGATTCAACTTTCGTAGTAGTGTCTTGGAAAGACGACGACGCGAGGAGCCATGCTTTGCACTTTTCTGTGATGTGACTCGAAGGCTGGAAGCAGCCCAATCTAACCAAGCTAGGCGCCGAGCGTGCTCCCGCGTTCTCGACAGCGTTCACTGTGACCGGCTGCTTTAGACCAACTAAAAACAAAATTAAGTGTTGTCACTATCCTTTGAACAGTTTTACTTACGTGTGTGAGCGTCTGGGTGAGACCTAGTCTCCAGCTCTTCGCACGCATTAGAAATAGCATTGCTAAACAACGAGACTTCCATCTGGGCTCGGAGCATTCTGTCCTGCATCAGACATCGTCCTCCTCCCGCAAATAATATTATATGCTCTTCTTGCTGGAGTATCTCCTGCATCGCGACCTCCTTAAGGCTCACATCAAGGAAAGCCATAAGATCGTGGGAGTCGACCCAACCAAACAGCACTGAAGCTGTGACAAGGAGGGAGTCTGGAAGCTGGAGGAAAAGTCAGAAAAAATATAAGAAGGTTGTGAGCGTACTAACGTCGGCACGTCCCTGTTTCTGGAGCCATGCCACGAGGGCCGCCTCGCTCTGGTCATTTCCAAGAAAGTGACATTTCGGATGTCTATCCCATGTAGAAAGAAAACGTGAACAAATATCGAACATATTGAAGTGGAAGAAAAGAGACTCGCAGGGCGTTCTCACGATTGTTCGATACTTGCACAACCTATACAGAAGATTGGGAAAGGATGGCCACTGATGGCC